AAACCACATCTTTATATGTAAATATTCAACCTCCACAGTTTTCCTAGGAAATTCTTACCACTTTGAAAAATATTACTACATATTTTTGCTTACTTTTTTTTTTGCTTGTTGTGTTTGGAACAACGGAGCATTTACAGTGCAAGCATTTTAAAGTGTGTTTGATCTGCATTTTTACCATGTGCTATTCTGGTCCTCTGTTAAAAACATAAAAATCATTTCTACAGCAACTAATTATAGTATAAGTCACAAATTCCAGATTACTACTGCTGTGGAGGTTGGAAGCAACCATCATGCAAATACTAAAAGCTTATTTTGGAAGTTCTCCACTGAACTATTACAAGCTAATAAAATGCCGAGAAGACATATAATATCTAACGCAAACATGAACTTTTCATATCAGCTTTATGTGTAATAAGCTTCACACAAATCTGAAGAGGATGCTTTTTCTGCCTCACGTTTAACCTTTGCCAAAAATGAGTTGAGCATATTTGTGAGGGACTATTTTGACACCTCATTCCTGTTGTGTTGATCTGTCTCTAGCCCTCCCCAACATCACTGTCCCTAGATCACTGTTTACTAAATCTTCTTACCAAGTAGAGTGACTGCTTTAGCTGGTCTAGAGTCTTTTCCCCATGCGCTCCACATATATTTTAGAATAAACTTCTCTATGTGTATAAACACACTACTTGGGCTTTAAAAGATTTGCATTGTAAACACAGGGATCTACTTAGGGGGGCTGACATGCGTGCACTGAGTTGTCCATACTACAAACACAATATATCTCTTGACTTATTAGATCTTTGATTCTATTTTTTTTTAGCATTTTCTAATTTTAGGCATAAATATTTGCTGACTGAGTAATTAAGAACAGATATTCCCTATGAATTGGGTTTTATTCTGGCAAGCCCATTTAAAACTGAAAAATATTTTAAGTTGCTCTCTCTCCTCTGATCCCCTCTCTATGTATCTCTCCTCTCTTCTTCTGTCTTTCTTCTCTCTCTCTTTCTCTCTCCCTCTCTCCCTCCCCCTGCATGGCAGCCGAGAGCTGCTTCCAATAAACCTGCATTTATATATTAAAATTTTTTTCAGTTGAAAATGAACTTAGTACAGCTAAACTGCTATACACTGTGGCTTAACAGCATAGCACATGGGAGAATACTGTTTGTCCCTGTGGAAGACCTGTCTGAGGATGGCATCTCACCACCATTGCCTACGGTAGGGAGTGCCATACCGTGTATCACTAGCAAGGAAAGCTATTGAACTCCAAACTCTGATGTTTGGCTGAAAACCTACATGGTTTTCACACCTTGGTAAAGTAAGAACATCCATGTGGGGCTCTGTGCAGTCTCTCTACAGAGCCTATAGATGATGTTGTTTTTAGTTTCACTTTCTACATGTTTGTTTCAGTTTAAAAGAATGTGATTTGATTTTTGGGTGTTGATTTTGAGTCTTGTGACTTTGCTGAACTCATATACTAGGCCTAGTAATAATAAATAAATAAATAACATGTTAGAGCCAAGTGGCAGTGGCACATGCCATTAATCCCAGTACTTGGGAGGCAGAGGCAGGTGGATCTCTGTGAGACAAAGGCCAGCATGATCCACAGGACAGCCAGGACTACACAGAGAAACCCTGTATCAGAAAAAAAATGTTTAGCTTATATTCCTTGTATAACAATCATGTTATCTGAAAATAGGGAGGTTTTGTGTCTTCCTTTCCAATATATTTGTTACTTCTTTACCTTATCTTGCAGTTTTAATTAGTTTTTATTCGTTCTGGGGGAAAGTGTTCTAATTTTCCCTATTAAGTACCACTTAGCTTTTTTAAAAAAAAATTAAACAATTTTTTATCAAATTGAGGTTGTTCACCTCTATTTATAACTTATTGATTTGTTTTAAATAAGTTATTCATGATTTTTATCATGAATGTTGAACTTACTTTGCAACAACTAACATAACAAGATTATTTCATTCTTTAGCTTGATTTTATGATGTTATGTTGATTGATTTTTTGCAAGCTGAAACACTGTTTCATTGCTGCAATAACTCTGAGTTTCTATTTTTTTATGTGTAAATTCCACTAAATTCATTAGTGACATTAGTCTTCACTCTGCTTTAGTTTAAATTTTTTTTTGTCTGGTACTAGTTTCACAGAATGAATTGAAAAGCTATCCACCTACTTCTTTCTATTTTGTATAAACTGATGTCACTTCTTCTTTATAGACCTAGTTAAATTCTCAGCAAAACCATCTAGGCATGGAGGTTTCTTTTTCAAGAGTTTTCAAATTACAAATATAATTGCTAAATAGTTACAGGAATAGTCATTTTATTTAGTTTTTAGTAGTTTGTAGTAGTCAAGACACTGTCTTCTTGAGAATGAAGTAACTTCTTGAGTACCCTTGTACTCTGAGGAGGGAGCTGTCGGGACAGGAGAACAATAGAGGCAAGCAGGCCTCTGTAGGATATGAATCCAGGTGTCAAGAACATAGAGATTCAAGTAAATCCAATCACTCCTACTTCGTAGGTTTCTCTAGTGCCTAGGCTTTGAGATGAAAAGTAGTTGTTGGTATCACTCAGAGCTTAAAACAGCAACCAGAGAAGAGAGGGCAAAGGGACCCTCAGCCAAGAAAAGACAGCCACTAGAACTGAGTAGAGGTGAGAGGTTCTAAGTGATTCTTCACTTATATCCTGTGAACCCTGAATTAATGATAAAAGGAGCTAGGCCTTGAAGCTCAGAGTAGTGAAGAAGACGAATGACATCACTGTATGTATGAAAGGCACAGGACAGAGAGGTGCTGGGCAGCTGAGCATGGGAGCAGGTGGGTGAGGACCAAATGGGCATCTGGTGGTACTAAGATTCAGGAAGGCAGAATCTGAGAGAGGACCCTGGCCATGTAAGAGGCCCCTTGTATTAAAGGGCAGCATTGCAGAGGGTCAGGGCAATGCTAAGAAGGAGGGCAGAGGATGGGGACAGAAAGAAAAATAGTCCCTGGAACAGAGCAGGTGGTAAGACTTCAAGCTAATGCTTATCAGCTAGACTTGGCTCCTGATCACATTCCTCTACAATGTAAAACCCCCCATTTCCAGCCAGAACGCCTCTTATTGTACTTAGTAAGGATTCTGTTTGTCTTAGTCACTGCTTTAGCGCTGTGAAGAGACACCATTACCACGGCAACTCCTATAAAAGAATGCATTTAATTGGTGGCTTGCTTATAGTTTCAGAGGTTTAGTTACTGTCATCATGGCAGGGAGCATGGCAGGCGCATGGTGCTGGAGAAGCAGTTGAGAGCTACACCCTACTCCCAGTGACACACTTCCTCAAACAAGACCATACCTCTTAACTCTTCTAAGTGACTAAACATTCAAATAAATGAGACTATGGGGGGTCATTCCTACTCAAACCACCATACTGTTCATTTCTTTCATCTGCTTAATTCCCTGTTGACCTAACACCATTTTCATGGTTACTCTCTGTTAAGTCCATCTTAGCACACAGCAGTACTACATTCTCACCCTAGCTCTTTTACATAATACAGTTCCTGACTTTTATTACTAAATAAGAGTTTATGGTGCTGGTGTTCTGGTGAAAATGTACAGGGGGCCTAGACTCTGCACTTTCCACTTATCCAGCAGATGCTCTGCAAGCTCCAGAGCTTAACAGGGTGCAGCGGGGAACAGAGCTGGTACTTCCATATATACATACATTAGACAGGGAGCAACTAAGCTAGGAAAAGTCAGGTTGGTGTGTCAAAGAGAGCTCAGAACATTGTGAGTGCAGGCCATGTTTGGATGAAGTTAGGAATGGGCCTTCCTGAGTGCAAAGTAAAGAGAGGCTTGACTGAAATGAACACCATTTGTTCTGGGGACTAGCTAGAGAAGAGCAGTAAATGGGCTATAGCAGCTGGTGCCTAATCTGGAGGTATGCAGTCATGCCCCCATGATGGTTACATGCCCCAGGGAAGACTAACAACAACAGAAATGAGTACTTGAGAGGCAAACAGGACCATGTGTGGGGGCCAGGACACCCTTTCTAGAAGGCTTCTGACATAAGCAGTTTTTAAGAGGTGTGATGAAGGTGAGGGGAAAGAAGAAAGTAACAGGAAGCAGTATTATGCAAGAGGCTCAAGGTGAGAGGAAGTCAGTACCCGTGGTTGAAGAAAGGGGATGGTGACAGCTGAGGCAGGGACCTTCCACCAGCAGCTACCCTGTTCCTTCTCTTCCTTATACCAGAATCCTGAATCTGTCTAGCAGTGACATATCCGTTAAGGTGAACACCCTCATGATCCAAGCCAGTTACAGTCTCTAGGTTTTCCTCATCTGAGCAGAGCCAGCTGGCCTCCCTTTAAATGGACAGCACAATTCTGCTTGGAAAGTGAGATACAACAGATGATTGCAGCAGGTTCCATGGAGCATTCTTTTACTTCAGATCAGAGAGCTATGTGAGATCAGAAGCCTGCACCTGCTCTTTTCACCTGCCTAGCAGGCAGCTTGCTGCTCTTCTACTGGGAGGAAGAAAAGTTAGTGCCCAAGAATGGTGATTCAGAAAAATAGGTAGTGTCCAACAGCAGAGAGGCACACCTCAACAAAACCTGACAAAAACTATCCTAATTCCCAAAGTGTGAGCCATAGAGTTGGAGGTTGCCACCCGAGGCCCATATGTCCCTGCTCTGCATGGCAGGGATTGGGGCAGGCACAGAAAGGACACTGGCCTTTAACAGGAGGCCCACAGGCCACACGTGCGCCACCTGTGCTCCTCCTGTGCCTCGCACTTGCTATTTTTTCATTCTTCTTACACTTGTTTTTAGTGGCACGAGTCACGAGTTCCTTCATAATTCGGAAGTATTCAGCATCCTAGTCATCTACTCTTCTTTTTAAAATGATTAACTACTGGAGAGAAATTTAACTTCTTTCTTATGAAAATAGATTTGGAATAACTTCAGACTTTTAAAATCATATCAGCATTCCTGCATTCCTGATACTTTTAGTGGCTTGTTATCTTACCACTGTGAAGTCAGGGTAGAAAATACATCATCTCTTTCAGGTTCCTGGAATAACTTCAAAAGCTCTGGATCCCCAGATAAATGTGCAAGAATGCGCAATTCAATCTGTGAAAAGTCTGTGAGACAGAGTTCTGGGTCAGTTTTGAATTCACCAGTGGTGCCCCATCATTGACCCACCCTAAGCCACTCTTACAATGCCTCTCAGTGGGCTCAAGGTCAACACACCTCTTCCCATATGCCAGACTCCCTTAGCCTTAGAACTATTGGCTCTTTTCTATGCCAGCAATTCCAAACACCTGTCCTTCCTCTTGCAAGGTCAACAAAGCCTCCAGGCCATGTTCATTTATCTTTACATTCATCACAATTTTATGAAGGGCCTCTTGTGTGCCAGGATCCCCTTGAGATATGTTAGTGAACAATATAGACACAGAACCCTTTTCCATGGAGACGTTCTGAGTAAATAATTTGGTATATCAGAGGGAGAGAAATGGAAAAAATGGATCAAGGTATAGTTTGGAAGAGAGTGGTGTGTATGTAGAAAGCTGGTGTCATGGTGGGGTAGTCAGCGCCCCTGCTTCTAGACCTCAAGAAGATTACAATGAGTAAAGACAGAATAGGAAAAAGAGGGGCTGTAAGGTTTGAAGTACAGGGGCACAGTGGCTAGCAGGGCTGCCTGGGTTAGCAAGGGGAGGACATAGTGGGAGGACAAAGGAGGAGAAAGCAGATTGGATGAGTTATGCAAGGGTATCTGGTATCAAAATATAGCAAAATGAGGGGACCATGAAAGCCAAAGACCTGTTATTCTTTAATGTGCTTAAGAAATCTTTGTTTCATATAAGTATTTACTTTAGGATTATTTGAAAGAAGGAATTATATATGTATCTTTGCATTAGTTAGTTGGTAAATATTTGAAGTGCATGAAAATGCACAAAGCAAGCTAAAAGGACAGTGGCATCCCTCCACCATCTTATACATTACCTGCTGCCAGGAAGGTGTGGCCTTCAGAGGAAACAAACAGATTTCTTGGAGAGATGGTGACTGTCTCCTCTTCTTTACCTGAATTATCATTTCAAGAGCATGTGAAGAGTTTCACTATCAGCTGACTTGCAATAATTCTTCATACAGAGTTATTTCAATATCATCCATAAACAAAAGTCTAGATTTTAATTTTGTGACTATTTCTAGTAATACAACTTAAAAAATGAGCACTGTTGGAAGAGAACAAAATTTTCTGTTATCAAAATTCTCTGTTCTATCTACAGTTATAATAAAGAAAGGAAGAAGTCAGACATTGACACCCAAAACCACTCTAGTAAAGCACTGGAGACAGAGCCTCGCTGATTGGAAAATCTACACAGAAGCCATGTAGCTGTGGTTCCCACTGGAGATAGCACAAAAGGGCTGCCAAGACACAGCTGCTGTGGCTTTCTTTTGGTTCTTCTCAAGGTGACTGTATTTAGAAAGGAGTGCTCTTGGTTTTGGTGATATTACTGTGACTGCTTGGTCAATGCCCCCAGCAAAGCAGCAGCACTGACCCGGCCACCGTTTGTTGGGAGTAAACATCCTAGCACCCTTTACCAGATAAGAATTTTCTGTTTTAGATATGTTACCATCAGCATTACGGTGGGATAGCTCAAAAGAAAGACTTTTCAGATGCTTATATAAACATCTCCAGAAAACTTTAGATTTTATTAAAAGCCAGTGCTATTGTTTGTGCATTTGTTTGTTCTTTATTGGGAAGTTGGTGGGGGAGAGACAGTGGGAAGGGAGATATTTCCCTGGTATAATTACTATCTATTTTAATGTGTAAACTGCTGAAAGGGAGGTACTATATCACTTCAGCTGCTTTTTATTTTTTCAGTGTAGGTTTAAATACTGGTCATGCAAACATAGAGGAGAACTTCAGAAAATAATAGCAGTTACATTATAAGCAAGTAATTATAAACACTTCTGGGTTTTAAGAAATGTCCCCAAGATTTTAACAAGGCAGAAAGTAATGTGTTACCTTTAAAATTCCGAGGCTTAGAAATCTGAATTGGGTGCTTTGAGATACCCTGGATATTCTGTTAATAAGATAATAGCTACTCTTAATTTGTACCATTCAAAAGTATTTAAAATACATACTATCCTATTAACTATTTTATTAAATATATAATGCCAATATTCCATGTAAAATCATATTGTCATGTAATACAACTGCCAAATATGAAAGTTTCATTGGAGACATCAAAAATTACAGTCAGCAAGTATGAGAACAGCCTTGACTCTGGCCAGTGTGAGTCTGTGGTACATACAGTGACTTGACAGTAGACCAAATTATGAACTTTCTTAATTGTGAAACTTGTAAAAATTATAATACCCTAAAGGTAGATTTCTAGGAAAACTGTCCATTATACTTTTTATTTAAAATCACTATTTAATTTGGAATTTAATACTTGGTGATCATGTACAAAGGCTTGAGGTTTCATCTCTTGTATTACCTAAAAGCACAAGAAAACAAACTCCCTACCATGCCTTAACATGAAAATTCTGGTCTCAGCTTTGCTGCATCCCTTCCCTGCTCCTCCTGGTGACTGGTGTCTGCTTCAGCCTTAGCTTTTGACTGATAGTGGCTGTATCATTTACAAGCCCTCAAGGGATTTTCTTGAGCGACCTTGTTTTCCACCTTTACCAGGGTAATGATGATGATAATAATAATAGATAACAGCCATCTTCCATCTTGTTTCCAGTGTTTAAAGCATGAGAACTCCTGTCATTACACCCTGCTATGCTTGGCAGGACAGTGAACAACAGGCTACTTTAGTTATGGAATTTGCTGGGTACTAGTTAGTCTTGGCCCGCTGACTAGCTATGATACCAGAGGCTGTATCTTTCAGGTGACCTTTTTAGGTTTCACAGAAACACAAGACGTATAGGGCAAGTATTTCATCTTTCTTGTACACATGAACTCACAACAGTTATAGTTATCTGCACAAGAGTTGCATGAAATCAAAAGTTAAAAATCAAAAGTTGGATAGGAGAGAGGCTACTGAGACCTGCACAAGATCAAAACAGTTAAACATTCTAGCACGGATAAGAGAGAGGCTACTGGAGCCTCACCTCTAGCTGAGGAGCCTTTGGAAGCTGATGGCTGATGGGGAGGAGAAAGTGGCCACTGGCAGGTTCCTTGTGCCCCTGTGGATGACCACATAGCCATGAACATATGGGCAGCATTAACTGAACTCAGTGAGCTAAAAATAAAATTAAAAGAGGCATAAAATTGGAATTGAGATGTTGGGAGGGTCCTAAGAAAATTTGGATTGGGGAAGTAGAGTGTGGATATGATTAAGGTACATTGTATACATGCATTAAATTTTCAAATAATAAACAAAACATGACTTAATTAAGAGAAAATTTGATTAAAAGTAACGCAAAGAAAACCTTATATTGGAATTTTGTTTCAATTTAGTTTCAATCACATAGACACAAAATACAAACTACAAAGTACAAACTACTAATACAAACCCATAAAACAAATAAAAAAAAGCACCCTGGCAATGAAAAAGGCACTTCCAGAATAGAAGGGTAAGGGATCCATGAATTCCGTGAATCATATGGAATCCGTGACATCCTGGTCATTAAAACTAGGCAGCAGAAGTAAGAAAATGCTAGTCTAACATTCTTAAACACAGGCACGATAATTCCTAACAAATTACTAACAAGCCAAACCTACTAACAAAGAAAAATGATTATATATCACGACCAAGAGATAACTGTCTTAGAAATGCAAGGTTGGTTTAAAAATCCAAAACAATTAATACATAGTATTCATGGAATAAAGGACTTTAGAACACAGTTACATCAGAGCAGAACAGAAAGGGCAGTGATGAAATCCAGCATTCATTCAGACTATGTATCAAGTATACACTGAAGGATCTAATCTAACTAGGAAAAGGGAGTTTTTCAACATAGTGAACAGCATGTGGAAAGCTTACTGGTTCTGAGTAATCTCACTGTTTACAGTTGTGCAAAATAGGCCTGTGCTCCCCACCTGTCAGAGTCAGACCAACATCAAGCCAATGTGCAGTTAACACACACAGCTGGCAGCTCTTGGAAAGAAAGCACTGTATGGTCAGGGCCAGCCAGCAAATAGGGGCTCAGGTCCCGACATTATGTCCCATAGAATGCAGCCTGGTAGTGCTAATGACAGCTGTTTTACCAAAATAAAGGGACTATATAGATTTTCTATTAGTCTTGAGAAAGTAAAGTTTAAGTTTATTGTGCCTAGATGAATTGTAAAGGAATATTTTTGATAATCAAATTTTGTTTTATAATATATTAACTCTCAGGATGACAGAAAACCCATCAGATACTTAATTGACATAGTGCATTTTAACCATCTCAAGAAAAGTTAAAACATACATCATATCTTTTGGTCATATGAAAGACTGAAATTCTGAGAAGGATTTTTTTTTTCTTTCCTGAAAGAGAAGACTTTAGCTTTTTCTCTTCTAGTACTTGCTAACAGGTACTAGGATGAATTGACTGTTGCCTTATTCTTTGATACCTTGCAATAGATATTCTGTCCAGTAAGACTTGCTGAGGCATGAATGGGGATTTGGGATCCACTTTAGCAGAGGGCTTCAGCTAGTAACCAGTGCCTTTACAGCTGACAGGGCAGGAACAGTTACAACAGTGTCAGCCATGAGCACAAGCCAGAGAAATGCTGTGCCTGCCAACTAATGCTAGAGGAATATAAAACCACTGCACAAGAAAAAGCATTTCAACAAGAATTGCTTCTATAAAGTGTCCCCAATATGTCTACAGAGCAGAGCTATTAACACTAAATAAATCAACTCCCAAAATAAAGTTTTTTAAAAGATTTATTTATTATTTTTTTATACAGTATTCTGCCTGCATGCCAGAAGAGGGTACCAGATCGCATTATAGATAGTTGTGAGCCACCATGTGGTTGCTGATTTGAACTCAGGACCTTTGGAAAAACAGCCAGTGCTTTTAACCTCTGGGGCATCTCTCTAGCCCCTCCCCCCTTTTATCTAATAAGGAAGACCAAAAATTATCCATGAAATTGTCTATTATGTGGAGTGACTTTTAAAGAAAAAAAAAAAAAACTTCTTGTTTTAGAGCAAAGTTGTAAAGATAGAAAAGTTGTCACTTGTCCCCATCCAGTTTCACCCAGTGAGCATCTTGGAGTTTGCCACTGCTAGACCAACAGGGGGCATTATCATCCACTAAGCTCTGTGCAGTTAGTAGTCATGCTCAAAGAAGAAACAAGAAGAAATTAGATCCCCTGTGGGGTGAATCCTTCCGGAGGACCCTCTATAGTATGGAGGGGACAGGAGCCCCACAAGAAGACCATCAAAACTAAAATATCTGAGCCCAGGGGGTCCTGCAGAGACTGATGCACCAACAGAGGACCATGCATGGAGAAGACCTAGACCCCCTGATCAGATGTGGCTGATTGGCAGCTCAGTTTCCATGTGGACCTCTGAGTGAGGGGAGCAGAGACTGCCTCTATCATTAACTCAGTTGACTGCTCTCTCATCACTTGCCCCTGATGACGCTGCCTTGCCAGGCTACAGAGGAAGAGGATCTAAGCAGTGCTGATGAGACTTAACAAGTTATTGGGAGATGGCAAATGGTGGAGAACTCCCCCTTTGGGAAGGTAAGACTGAGGGAGTTGAAGGAGGGAGCTTCAATTGGGATATATAATGAATAAATTGTGAAGAAAAAAATAAAAATTAAAAAAAGTTAAAAAACACAATTTGATACAAAAATATTGAATATGCTTATTTTATGGAAATATCTCTTGAAAATTGGTATTTTCTAGCTGGGCATGGGGAGTGGTGGCACATACCTGTAATCCTAGCACTTGGGGAGGAAGAAGCAGGAGGATCTCTGTGAGTTCGAGGCTATCCTGGTCTACAAAGTGAGACCAGGCTAAACAGAGAAACCCTGTTTCGGAAAAAAAAAAGGTATTGTTTTATCCGTCTTTTGTTATGTCAACATCACATAGTTGCTCTAATGTATATTTATAGATTAGTTACTGTCTGTCTAAGAAGGTAAGGTGATGTGAATAAACAGGATGCACACATTAAAAAAGAAGGAATTAGATTCAATGATCTCTATCTCTCCCCTCTATCCTTCTTTCCTATCTAGTGATAGTAGGAGAAACTGGAGAGAAAAGGATGGGAAAAAGAAGAACCTACAAAGTAGCAAGGGTTAGCTATACGAAACACCTGCCTTTTTCTTGCCAGCAGTAAATGAGAATGTCTATTGTTCCACATCCTGACCAGTAATTTTTTTAAAAAACATTTCAACCACTAGATTGTTCAGTGGCTTAAACACTTTCCACATAAACCTAATGAACCAAGTTTGATTCCTGGAACCCATGAAAATGCAGAAGGAGAGAACAGATTCCATAGAGTTGTCTTCTGACTGCCATACATGTGCTGTGACATGTACATACGCACACATACACGCATAGATAGTAAATTAAAAAAATAAGGTCAGCTACAGGTGCTGGACGATGGCTCAGGGGCTAAAATGGTTTGCCATGCAAGCTTGACAACTGGGATGGGAATTCCTATTATCAGAACCCACATAAATGCTGGGTGGGCACTGTGGCCCATCTGTAATTTCAGGCTCAGAAAGCAGAGACAGGAGAGCCCCACTGGAAGCTATGTAGAAAGACTAACCAGCTTTATTGGTGAGCTCTAAGTTGGAGTGAAAGATTGTGCCTTAAAGAATAAGGTAGAAGACTGGGGAAGATTTCTGGTATCAACTTTGCTTATGCGCATATGCATGAGCACCTACACACATATCTACGGTTTCACACACACACCATATATACAGTATAAGAAATCTCTATCAATAAGGTACAGACAAAGTTGTTTGTTGAGGAGAGCTGCAAAAAATTCCTCTTCAGACTTTAGCAGAAGCTGCACAGAAACATTTTTCCTCAATACTGGAGAGAAACTGAACAACTGCTTCCAAGATCTGCTAGGACCATGGCAACAGTGGCAATGAGAAATGGGCAAAGAATCTTCTGGGCCTGCTCTTA